GAATTTATTATGGTCAACCAAAACGATATTATTTACAGAGGGGTTGTTGATACGAATTTTTTTGGGCAACACATTGAGAACTAGACAATAGGAAGCATTCACAAGTTGGTGAATAGGTGGGGGTATAAAGAAGAAACTTATAGGTTGTGGACTAAAATTTTGGAAATAGATGAGGATTTCTTTCAGATAAGAAAGGATGATGATGCATACAATTTTGTTGCATATGCTTATGAAAATCAAATTGATGGAGATATCTTAGTGGAACGTGATGTTGAGAACAAAGAACTTAGAGTAAGGTTCCTAAGTATGTTAGTAGGGTGACATATATGGAAGGATTAGAAGATGAGGTGGTTGAAGGGTTAGATGATAGTGAGAATGATAGAGTTACCGCTCTTGTAGATGGATTTGATGGATGTAATTGTACCTATAAATAAAGGGGATATAGTTGTTGGACTATTAGGTGGGCCCAACAAGAAAATTGAAGAAGATGGTTATTATAGTTCTGAATTGGACAACTCGGTTCCATATGAATTTGGTGATGATGAAAGGCCTAAGTTTGAGAGGTTTAGGAAAAAGCGACTCAATAAGAACTATAAGTTTAAGTGGGGTATGGAATTTAATTCTCTTTTTGATTTTAGAGAGGCAACTCGTGAGTGGTCAATGTTAAATAATAGGGAAATTACCTTTGTGAAAAATGAGAGTTATAGGGTAAGGGTAGAATACAAGGCTAAATGTGATTTTTTAGTCTTATGCTCTAAAGTGGGCACAAGCACACATATGATTTAAAAACATTGTTGGATACACACATATATCCTAGGGTTTTGAATAATAGATTTGTAAGCTCAAAATGGGTGACCAAGGTTGTAGTCAAGAGAATACAAATATCTGAAACAATTAGAATCAATGATATTGTGAAAGATATCAGACAAAATTTCTCTGTAGGTATCAGTGTTTCTAGAGCAAGGGGGTAAAGTTGATATCAAATAAAATTATTAAAGGTGATGCTGATAAGTAGTATGAAGATCTATGGAGGTATGTTGTTGAGTTAAGAAGGGTTAATCTTGGGAATACTGTGAAGATCAATGTTGAAAGACCATTGACATCAATACAACCAAGGCATGGTTCATTTTACTTTTGTTTTGATGGTTGTAAGAAGAGTTTCATAAATGAATGTAGACATTTTTTTGGGGTTGATGGCTTTCACATGAAGACCAAATATGGTGGACAACTACTAATTGTTGTGGATATGGATCTCAATGATCAATATTTCCCTTTGGCATTTGGTGTTGTTGAAACTGAAATAAATGAGATTTGGAGGTGGTTTCTACAATTATTTATGGAAGTTATTGGACAAGAAATAATATATGTACTTATCTCGAATCAACATAAGGTATGTGATTAACATCATGTTTTTTTATTCATTTCATCATTTATACATGTTGGTTCCACAATTTTTTATGCATGTATTAAATTTTGATTCAGGGATTAATGGTTGTTTTTGAGAAAATGTTTGACAGTATTGAGCATAGGTTCTGTCTCAGACACTTGTATATAAATTTTAAGAAAAGGTTTGATGGTGGAACCCTTATAAGGGATTTGATGATGGGAGCTGTTAAGGCCATTTACTATCAAGGTTGGGTCCAAAATATGAATGAACTAAAGAAGATAGATGTCAAGGCTTGGACTTGGTTAATGGAAGCTCATACCAAATGTTGGTGTAAGCATGCATTTAGTTTTTACCCCAAATGTGATTTTTTCATGAATAATATATCTGAGTCTTTTAATGTCACTATTTTAGTTGATAGGGAAAAGCCCATTTTAACCATGTGTGAGTGGATTAGAAAGTATCTTATGAGTAGGTTAGCAACATCTGCCACCAAGCATGATAAGTGGCAACATAGAATTTGAGCTTCAAAAACGCAGTTGATCTGTTGCAGAAAACCAGCATAAACTTCTCCATGAAAATAGGGCTTCAATGATTTGTTTTCTAAAATGTCTCACCATTTAATGAAACATATTTATCTTTTGAATGCAAAGGAGATCTCTGATTCTTCAGTCTTGGACACCACATGAGATTACTTAATATTCATATAATATTTAGTAATTTAAAACAACTGTGTCCAAACTGTAAAACAACTGTAACATACAAGATGTCCTACTCTTTTTGGTTAGGACATCACATTTGATATGTTGAAACAGCAAGTTGAAACATCTTGTTAAGCATATTTCTACCAAGTTAGTTTTATCAATATTGATGCCAATTACAATAACATAGAAATAACAAACCAGATCATTGAAGGCTTGGAAGAAGAAGAAATGACAACTTATGTATTGATGATGCACATTATGTGCAACTTTTAATGTTGTGTTTGTAGTATGTTTTATTTTACTTTTGTTTAAATTGTGCTTGTAATCTTGACGCAACTGTGTCATCTAATTATGCTTGTACTGTTGACAGATAAAGTGTCATTTTATTATGCTTGTAATTATGCACTTCATGTGCCATTTTGTATCAAAGTTATGCACTATATGTGCTACTTGGTAATGAATTATGCATTATGTCATTTTATATCTCAATTGTGCACTATATCAGTTATGTAAAGAATTTTAAAACAAACTGCAATATCAGACAAATTTCTCTCAAGTCCAACTTTTCCATTAGATATAATATTGATACAACATCTAGTACAATAACTAAAACATGAAATTACATTAACTTAATAACTATTGAAAACAGCATCCATGACATAACAAGTGCAATCATCAACCAATAGCTTATGTTCTTCTCCATTTCCATCTTTTTCTTTATCTTTTCAATCTTCTTTGAACTGTTTTCTACACCACACTTCTTGACAACTTCATTCTCAACTTCATTGACAATGTCCTTTGCGTATTTCCTTAACTAAATCTTTATTATTTCACATTCACAACATTTTGTGGAAATCATTTGAGTCCTTTGAATCTCGCAAACCGCATTGTCCCACATCTTCATTGGTTCATTACAGCCACACCTTGGCAAACTCATACCACTTGAGTTATCAACAAATAATGTTTTGCTTGCATCCATGATTGAAACCACGATGAATCCTAGCAGATCGAATATATAAAGAAAGGGGGAAAATTCTAAAGAGATGAAGAAAGGGGGAAAAATCGTGGCCTTGAAAATCCTAATAAATGAAAATTGTTTAAAGATTGAAGCAATTTCAACATCTAAAAAAAATTAAAAAGAATATCATAGTATCAATACAGTCAAACCATACTAGTAAAAATAAAAGAATCTTTAGTGACATCTGACACTCAGATATCTACCGACGAAATCTGAATATTACGAAGAAGGATTAAAAAAATTCTTTTACATTAAATTAAAGAAAATCTCGGGAACATTATATGAGAGTGTATATTTAATCAAAAATCAACTATCTAAAAAATCTAATGTATATCCATAGCAAATTTAGAACAAAATTTTCTCAAAGACAAAACAAAGAAACGACGAAAGACACCATCAAATAATGGAAAAATAATAATATCCAAAACTCATTTATTGACATACAAAATTATTTATAATTTTTAAAGACATTGTTAGTATAAACATTTTCCAATAAAATAAACTCAAGGTTCTCAAAAGAAAAAACGCATGCCCCAAGATCCCCACCTCTTTTGCTTACAATTGACTTAAAATAAAAGAATTGACCAGTCACATGCTCCTCACATGTTATCAAACCCACATTTTCGTCAACATTTTTCCCTTTCTTCAGTTCTCTTTTCCCCAGGGATATAAAAATACTCAAAACACTGAAAATAGTACACACCCGTTCTTTCGGAAAAAGCAATTTCATTATTCAGTCACAGAAAAGAATCAGAAAATAAAAACTGAAACAAAACAGCACAGTAGTACAGCAGAGAGAGCAGAACAACTAAAACGTAACATGTAATGATAAAAGTGTTTCCCATTTTTAACCGCGTGCCGTAAAATCTCCCACACTGCACCACTATCTTTTTTGTACACACACAATTATTACCCCCAACACAACAACCGTACCCCCTACCCTACTTAAACTAACCATATCTTTATATTACTTTCATTCACTATGCAGAAACATCAAAGACCGATGAATGTTAACCCAATATTTAAAAATTAATTAGTAAAATTTAAATGTCATCTCAATATAAGGTAGATAGACATAAAAGAGGGAATATAACGGGGGCTGATACTGTTTTTACTCTATCTAGAGTCATTATTTGATGATATTGATGAGATAGTGAAATAGGGTCACACAGTAGATAGCGTACAACACGCCACACTCAATCACCATCACCGCCTTTATAATTACTCCTATCACACTTCCCAAAATCATACAATATCCACTGCACTGCACCGTCTCGAAATTAACATCGCATTACCACCAAAACGCCACCGTTTTCTTAAACCGAACATTATTTTCCTTATAAAAGCATGTTTACGGAGATTAAGATAAGATTTTGTTTTTATTGTGATGTGTGTTGGGAAGCACGGGTGTAGAAAAAACGTGTGGGGTTGCGTTTATGAATTGGCTTTTGGTTAAAAGAGCGAGTTATTATTATTATTACAAGAAAATGGCCGTTGCAGTTGCAGACACAACACAATAACAGCGACATTTGCGCGCGTCTTACGTGTCAGCTTTTGCCGCACACTCGTCGCTTTCGTTACCCTACCACGTTGACCCCACGCGCCTGTTCCCACGCGCACCTAATCTATAATCTACATCTATCTATCCCTACGAGGTTTACCTCGTTTCTCTATTGGGGAACTGTCAGGTAGATAGATCAATGCGCAGTGGGACCCACGTCCATTACTCTGGTTTTTTACATTTTATTTTATTTTTTTACAACATAAATTTCAATAATTGAAAACAAATAAGCAGAAATTGAAGAAGTGATTTTAGATCAAAATGATTTTTTTTTACCATTCATATTGAAGTTTTTTTTTTCTCTAAGAAACTAACATACTAATTGATCCATGTTCATGACATGTTAACATGGATGCTAGCAGTTTTGAAAGATCTACAAATGGGACAAATGTTAAGATTAGACCCACAAACACCACATAAACAAAGATGTCTACAAGGCAAAATCAACACACATGATTCATCTTTCCCACAGTTGCTGCATAGTTTCATGCTATTCACAAAATTGCTTCCACCATTTCCGCTATCACCACCACCACCACCGCAGTTTCGCCATTCCACGACATTTTCTTCTTCGTTGATACTCCCATTGCTATCACAACAAGACTCAGCGTCGTTGATCAAAGCGGCGTGTCGACCGACCGGAGAAATGGTATCGCCGTTATCGTCTCCGACGCGTTGTGCGAGAAGCTGTTCGAGACTGGAGCGCAGAGCATTGGCGGTTGCTTCATTGCTTTGAGCCAAATCACGCCATATTTGATTCTCCATGCAGAGTGACTTAACTCTTTCTTCTAAAGCCCAATTGGTTCTAGCGATTTTCTCTATTTCTTCTTCTTTTGCCTTCAATCTCTTGGTGACACTCATGTCTATAGCTTGAATCAACCTCATCGCTTGTCTCTTTCTTTTCTCTTCAATCTCATATTTCACCTTCTCCATCTAAACAAGTAGACAAAAAAAAATTAGATTTTCTTCTCTGAATAATAAAAAAGTTCCATAGAAATGATACTTGATATTAGAGTCAAAAGGTGCTTACTTGTTGTGCAATGAGTTGATCGATGTCGAGTTGTTGGCGTTGGATCTGAAGGGAAATGTCTTCACCGAGAAAAGAGAAAGATGAAGAGGCACAACTTTTGTTGTTCTGCTGTGCTGTTGAAGGTTGAAGATAAGAATTCTGAAACGGGTAATTGATAGAATTCGAATAGTCTCTGGAATCTCTAGAACGTTTTCTCATGGGAACGTTGTAAGTGAGACCACTATCAGAGTTCATAGCAGTTTTCTGAGGCAACGAATCAGCGGTTATAGAGTTGTACGGTGGTAGAATAAGAGCCTCCGTCGCGGCGGTTTTCATAGAAGCCGGTGGAACAGATGAATAAGCCATGTTGTAGAGGTTGTTCACGTTTGTTTCAACAGGGTTCATCGTTTCTCTGCAGAAAACATAAAATATGTTAATACAGATTAATATAGGTTAATAGAGGTTACGAGGAGAGAAAAGAGAAAGAATTTGCAGTTATTTTATATACCTGTTGGTTATGAGTTGAGGGGAAAAGAGATGAAGATGGCGAGCCTCAACGGCCATGATGAAGAAAGAGAGAGAGTGGTAGAATAGAAGAGAGAAAGAAAAGGTTGTTTTGGGATGTTTATATGCGGTTTAGAGGTGGGTTTAATTTTGGAGTATTCGCTGGTGTTGAGAGGATGAATGAAATGAGAGGAAGATATAGATATAGATACATCCAATACAAGTATTAGTAGTGAAATGAAAACCGAAGAAAATAAATGGCATGCTGACAACTCTATATGGTGGGGTTTTTCAATGTTTTCCTTGGTATTGGTATGGTCCACACAGTTTTGGAAAATAAAGAGAGTATATTTTTACTTTTCTAAAAACAAAATTCTGAGGCAAACAACTTACTGCCATTTTCTAGGGTATTTTAGTAAAATTAAGTAGTAAAAAATGGTAAAAGAGCCACGTAATTGTGCCAACTAAGAAGCGCCACGTAGGAAACGCTAGAGTCCAAGGTTGTTGTGTAGTTATAATTATGGTCGTGGAAGGAAGAACAACGTGATAAAAGTGGGACCGAGGAAAAACGTGTGTGGCAGGGTTGTGAGGGAACAGTGTAAGGTGAGAATAGTGGGCACGTGCGAAGTGCCAGCGTGGAAGGAGCCGTGGGACCCGGTGAAAGGGTACGGTGTACCCGGAGAGAGAGTGTTGGTTGAGTCATGGAATGGGAAACGTTGCTTGTTGGACCATTTTCTGCCACGTGTCGTTTTTGTTTGCTTTGATTTTGGTCCATTCTCTCTCTCTTGGAAATTTCAAACAAGTCTGATTCGGCCTTGTTTAGATAGTTCATCATATCTACGCTTTTTAAATGCTTTTTACATGAATGTAATCGATAAGGTTGAATAGGTTGTTGACAAAGTGTAAATATTTTCTTAAAATAAGCAAAACCTAATTTAATCTCTCATCATAATAAAAAATATAGTCAACAATTTAATTTTTATCTTATTTGCATTTTGTTTGTTGATTAAGAAAATAAAAGATGACAATAGTGATAATTTATTATATACTTCTTCGGTCTCAAAGTAATTGTTACGTTTAGAATAAAATGTAAAATTATTTAACACATGCATCTATTCAAATTCTAACATATAGATATTTGATATTTTATTTTATGAATAAATCTATAAAAATAACAATAGGATGTGATTTTTTTGGATGAATATGTAAAAATAATTTATACCGTTTATACATAACAAATAATTTATACATAATAAATAATTTATACCGATGTAATTTTTTTTTTTTTGGATTTTTCAATTTTGTTCTTACAACATCATCAACTTCATACAATATCTATCGGTTATTATTATCAATTACATATTTTTGAATATAATGGCATGCAATAGCGCTGTAGCCACAATTTAACTTCTATGACCTAAAAACATAGAAAATGCTAATACCAATTTTATCTTTTAAATCTAATTTTTTCTGGATTCATCTGTTCTTAATATTTTGTTCAACGTTTATTTTTTTAGAAGTCTCATATGCTCCTCCTTATTAGAGGGTAATTTAGTATTTGTCATATGTAGGATATTTCATTTTAGTTCTATGTGACATTCTTATCTTTGTTCATTTTGTGTATAAATAGGTGTACTAGGTTTACATTTATGACAATCAATTCCTTCAATCATTAGTGGCAGCTTTTAGCATTTATTCTTTTCTATCTTCTTCCTCAATTTCATCACCTTGCACTAACAAATTGATATCTAGAGCTTCTTGGTTTATTTTAAATTCAGGGAAACACGAGTGATAGTGAGCTGTGTGTTTGATTTTTGAATCTTGAACAAAAATCTGAAACAAAATCACACTGATTCTGTGGGTTTGGGAAACACTGAGTGAGAAATCTGAGATCTGAGTTTTTGTGCAAGGTTTAAGATGAATGGAGGCAGTAGTTTGAACACTAAACTTTCAGTTTTTGATGGCAAAAACTGGAACAAATGGAAGATACAAATGCGTGTGTTGTTTGGTGCTCAGGATGTTCTGGATCTTGTTTCTGAAGGTTATGTTCCAGTTGCAGCAGATGCTACTGAAGAACAAAAATCAGAAGAAAGAGATGTGAGGAAGAGGGATCAGAAAGCTCTGTTCTTTATCCATCAGTGTGTGGATGAAAATGTGTTTGAGAAGATTGTTGATTCGACGATGTCGAAAGGGGCATTGGATATACTGACCAGATGTTATGGTGGTGATGTATCAGTAAAAAAGGTAAAGCTTCAGTCCCTGCGAAAACAATATAAAAATCTCAGCATGAAGAACAGTGAGAAAGTTTCTGAGTACATCTCCAGAATGATTCTGATCACTAATGAGATGAAGGCTTGTGGAGAAACACTTTCTGAGCAGGTAATCATAGAAAAGATTCTGAGGTCACTTACTCCTCAGTTTAATTACATTGTTGTATCAATTGAACATTCTAAAAATCTGGAAACCATGAGAATAGAAGAGTTGCAAAGCAGTCTAGAAGCGCAAGAGTTGTGTCTGACTGAAAGAACTTCTGAGAGGGAAGTGGAGCAAGCTCTGAAGGCTTCTTTTGTCAAGAAGGACCAGAAGCAGAATAGACATGGTGATAAATTCCAGAAGTCAGAAACCTCAATTTCTGATGAAAAGAAATATCAGAAGGGAAAAGAAAGGTATGACAAGAAGAAGGTTCAATGTTACTGCTGTAAACAGTTTGGCCATTTTTCCAGAGATTGTAGAAACAGAGGAAGGAAATCAGAAGAAGCAAACATAGCCAGAGAAGATTCTGATGATGAACCTGTGCTACTGATGGCTTCTGATTCTGATGGAAATTGTTCAGGAGATTGGTGGTATATGGACACTGGATGTTCAAACCACTTGATTGGGAACAAACAATGGCTGATAGACTTTGACTCCAGAAGGAGAACAAAGATCAGATGTGCTGATGATAAGTACCTTAATGCAGAAGGTATGGGAAATGTTAGAGTCAGAGTGAAGAATGGAAGAAACATTCTGATCAAAGACGTTTGGTATGTTCCTGGAATTAAAAGCAATCTGATGAGTGTGGGTTAGCTTATTGAGAAAGGTTTTTCAGTGGTTATGAAGGACAACCTCTTGACGTTGTATGATTCTAATCAGAAGTTGATTATGAAGTCTGAGCAGGGAAGCAATAGAACATTCAAGGTGAATGTAGAAACTTCTGAAGCGGAGTGTCTTAGTGCAGAAGGCGCTGAAGTTGACAGTAAACTGTGGCACAAGAGGTTGGGGCACTTGAACTATAGAAGCTTAGGGCATCTAAGTTCTAAGAAGCTCATACATGGCATTTCGAAGATTGTGAAGCCTCAGAAGTCATGTGAAATATGCATGAAAGGCAAGCAACCCAGATTGCCATTTGCATCAAAAGTAGCCCCCAGAGCAAAGCAAGCTCTGGGGGTAGTACATTCTGATGTGTGTGGACCATTTCTAGTACCTTCACTTGGAGGAAACAAATATTTTGTGTCTTTTTTGGATGAGTTCACAAGAATGACATGGGTAACACTCATCAAGTTCAAGCATGAAGTGTTTACTGAGTTCCAGAAGTTCAAGGTGAAGGCTGAGAAGCAGAGTGGTCAGAAGCTGAAGATTCTGAGAACAGACGGTGGAGGTGAGTATAACTCTACAGAGTTCCAGAAGTTCTGTGAGGAGAATGGAATATAACATGAGGTTACTGCTCCATATACTCCTCAGCACAACGGTCTTGCTGAAAGAAGAAACATAACTTTGCTTGATATGACCAGAAGTATGCTGAAAGAGAAGAAGTTACCTCACATGTTATGGGGAGAAGCTGTTGCCACATCAGCATATGTTCTGAATAGGTGTCCAACAAAGAAGCTGAAGGAAACTGTTCCTTTAGAAAAATGGACTGGAGACAAGCAAAGTGTTAGCCATCTGAAGGTGTTTGGTTCTGTATGCTACAAACACGTTCCAGATGCTAGAAGATGAAAACTGGATGATAGAAGCAAAACAATGTTACTGGTGGGTTACCACAGTACAGGTGCCTATAAGCTTTATTGTCCAGAAACCAACAAAGTTGAGATCAGCAGAGACGTCATTGTGAAAGAGTCAGAAACATGGGATTGGAACAAGCTTCAATCAGATTTTGGTGTAGCGCCAACACCAGGGTTAGTTTCTGAAGATCCTTCAGAAAGTTCTGAAGACGAGTCAGAGTCAGAAGATGAAGACTCTGAAGATGAGTCAGAATCTCAGGGAGATTCTGATAGTGGATCTGATTCTGATCCAGATTCTGATGATGATGCAGAATCTGGTGGTGATTATACTTCTGGAAGGGAAAACTCTGAAGACATGGGGTCTGGAGAACAAGTTTCCAGAAGTAACTCTGAAGGTGGTAACTCTGAAGGAAATAATTCTGGACAAAGTCCAGAAGCCAGCACAGTTCCGAGTTCTGGAGAAGCTTCAGAACAAGATCAGAGGCCACAGAGAATCAGACGAATACCAAGTAGGTTTGCAGATTTTAGCATGTTGCATGATACTGAAGTAGATTCTGAAGGAGAAATCGTTCAGTGTGCCATGCTAGTAGATTCTGAACCAGTGGGTATTGAAGAAGCGCTCAAGAAGAAAGTATGGTTGAATGCCATGAAAGAAGAACTTGAGGCTATTGAAAGAAACAAGACTTGGAAGCTGACAGAACTTCCAAAAGGCAAGAAAGCCATCAGCGTCAGATGGGTTTTCAAGCAGAAGCTAAAGCCAGATGGATCAATTGGCAAACACAAAGCGAGACTAGTGGCCATAGGTTTTCTTCAGGAACCTGGACTAGATTACTTTGAGGTGTTTGCGCCTGTAGCTAGACACGAAACAATCAGACTGGTGATTGCTTTAGCTGCAAACAAAAATTGGCCTTTGATACATCTGGATGTGAAGTCTGCATTTCTGAATGGTCCATTACAAGAAGAAGTTTATGTGTCACAATCTCCTGGATTTGTGAAAAAGAATCAGGAAGGGATGGTATACAGGTTAAATAAAGCTCTGTATGGACTGAAGCAAGCGCCCAGAGCTTGGAATTTGAAGAT